CAACCCTAGGTATACCGCAGTTTCAACCCTAGGTATACCGCAGTTTCTCCATATGGTCTTCATAGGGTGTGGGGGGCCTCAGTCCCAGGTGAGGAGCTCCATCATCCGGGGCGAGCTGGGCGTAGAGCTGCAGCTCCTCTGCACTGAAAGGAGTCAGCTGAGTACTGGGGGTTTACCTGTTGGTTTGATCATTTGCAAACTGGAATCTGCATTATTTGAGGGAAACTACACCTTTTATCCTTTTTCATCCTCAAATGGTGTCCCCATTGAGTTTGTTGATTCCTATAAATATTTGGGTATCTTGGTCGACTCACATCTCTCTTTTAAGGTCCATGTGGAAAACTTGGTAAAGAAACTGGAAGTTAAACTGGGTTTCTTTTTCAGAAACAGATCCTGTCTAACTCTGAACCCTGAGGAACACCTTGTATCTGTGACTTTCCTTCCCTCCATTGATTACAGTGACATTATCTACATGAACGCTCCTACAAGAACCCTGCAGATGTTGGATGCTGCAGATGTTGGATGCAGTCTATCATGGTGCACTAAGATTCATAACTGGCTGTAACTACCATACCCACCACTGCACCCAGTATTCACTGGTTAACTGGTCACCATTAACTCCACACAGACTCTCCCACTGGTATATTTTCATCTTTAAATCACTTCCTGGTCTGCTGCCTTCATACATCTCCTCCTACATGTCTCTGCGTGAGTGCAGCTACAGCGTGCGCTCTCAGGACATCATTACCTGCAGTGTTCCCTCAGTGAGGACTGAACTAGGCAAAAGGACCTTCTCCTGCTCCGCTCCTGTTTCCTGGAATATCTTGTAAAAAGACCTGAAGCTCTCGACCTTTGACCTCTCTAAGTGGCTTTAAGAATCTGTTGGACTCCTGGCAGGGACCAATGCAGACATGTTCCTGTTTTTAGTTTTCTAAATCACCTTGTGATCTAACTGTTTTTCCTGCTATTCCTCTTGATCGTCCTTGTGGTTGCTGTTTTAATTTGATTTGTTAAAAAAGAGAAACTTACATCTGTATGTTTATTTTATGACTGTCCACTGTTGTCATCACTCTGTTAATAAACCAGGTCTCTCTTGTAAATGAGTCCCCGAGGCTCAACGGGATTAACCTGTAGAAATAAAGGTGGAATGAAAAGATAAAACATTATGGTGCAAGCAAGGTATTTATTTACTTTGTGATCAACCGGCTCAAAGGCTTCAGTCAGTAAAAGTACAACACAATACTATATTTACTACTGTACGCACAGCCTGTATAAAATCATTTTAAACTTTAAGAACTAATGTACCAGCTCTTTGCAGTTTTCTAAAACCTGACTGAAATAAAGATGAAAGGACTTTGTTCAAGTAAAACACATCATTAGGACATGGGTCTGTAGTTGGTGACACTTTGGTGACCTTGGTGGGTTCACGCTCTTTAACAGAGGGAGAACTTGAGGCCAGACTTTGCTGGTGAGACTCAGATAGACTCAGGGGTCTGCAACCTGCGGCTCTGGAGCCACACGCGGCTCTTTGGTCCCTCTGCAGCGGCTCTTTCAGGCTTTGACCAAAACTGACATGAAACTGAATTTTATTGGTTGTACAAGCAGCAAAACGTGATTAGTTCAAACAAATTTCCTGTCATTTATTTAGCAAATATGTGAACACTGGAGTGATTACAAGAAGTAAAACATACTTTAACTTTATTTCTTTATACGAACAACTGTCTGCATGGTTTATAGATTTTTAATAAAAAAAAAAAAATATATATATATATATATATCTTTATAATGTCACCCCTAGTGGTCACAAAAGCCCCCTCCAGCAAACCTAAAGTGGCTCACGGGCCACCAGTTGATAACCACAGCTGTAAGAGGCTGTTGCACCTCGGGACAAGTTTAATGTCGTGAACAAAGGCGTAAAAATGTCTCCTTTGATTGTAAAGGTTGCAGACCCCTGGTCAAGACTGTCCCTACAGTAATCCACCAACCTGGCTGTGATTCAGTGAGTTCACAGATGTTGGGCTAACAGTTGAAGTGTTACATGAGAGACATTAATACCACAGAACATTGTTTTCAAGGGTTGGGCTAAATGTCTACAGCTCCGTCACTTAATTTAGTAAATGATCTTCATGGAAACCTGCCGTCAAAGGCAGTAATACACATATTTAAAATCAATGCTAGGCCTTTACTTTCATTCAATCAACCTTTATTTGTACAGGTTAATCCCGTTGAGCCTCGGGGACTCATTTACAAGAGACCTGATTTATTAACAAAGAGTGAGGACAACAATGGATAATAGACAGTCATAAAATAGGCATAGGTATACAAATTTAAGTTTCTTTTTTTTTTTTTTTTTACAAATCAAAACAGTCAAAACAAAATAGCAGCTAAAAGGACAATCAAAGGGAATATTAGCAAAAAACAGCTAGATTCTAAGGCGAATGTGGAAAACTAAAAACAGGAACATGTCTGCATTGGTTTTTTCCAGGAACTTAACAAATGCTTAAAGACACTTAGAGAGGTCAAAGGTCGAGAGCTTCAGATCTGTTTACAAGATATTCCAGGAAACAGGAGCGGAGTAGGAGAAGGTCCTTTTGTCTAGTTCAGTCCTCACTGAGGGAACACTGCAGGTAATGATGTCCTGAGAGCGCACGCTGTAGCTGCACTCACACAGAGACATGTAGGAGGAGATGTATGAAGGCAGCAGACCAGGAAGTGATTTAAAGATGAAGATGTACCAGTGGGAGAGTCTGTGTGAAGTTAATGGTGTCCAGTTAACCAGTGAATACTGGGTGCAATGGTGGGTATGATAATCACAGCCAGTTATGAATCTTAGTGCACCGTGATAGACAGCATCCAACATCTGCAGCATCCAACATCTGCAGGGTTCTTGTAGGAGCGTTCATGTAAATAATGTCACCAAAATCAATTGAGGGAAGGAAAGTCACAGATACAAGGTGTTCCTCAGGGTTCAGGGTTAGACAGGATCTGTTTCTGAAAAAGAAACCCAGTTTAACTTTCAGTTTCTTTATCAAGTTTTCCACATGGAGCTTAAAAGATGTGAGTCGACCAAGATACCCAAATATTTATAGGAATCAACAAACTCAATGGGGACACCATTTGAGGATAAAATCGGAGGAAGAACTGCTGGGACCAACTTCCTATTTGAAAAAAGCATCCCTTTGGTTTTTTCGGCATTTAGAACAAGTTTGAGGCGAAACAAATCAGTCTGGATGATGTTAAATGCAGATTTCAAAAGCTGGAAAGCCTTAGCAACTGTTTTAGCTCGACAATAAACAACTGTGTCATCAGCATAGAAATGTATGGATGCATTAGGGATGTTTTTACCTACATTATGTATGTAGATTGTAAAGAGGGTGGGTCCTAAGACTGAGCCTTGTAGTACACCATTACTGACTGTTAGATAACTGGAGGAAGTACCATTATGTTGAACACATTGCCTCCGGTCTGAAAGATAGTTAGAGAACCAACCAATGGTGTGTTCTGAGAAACCAATTTTTGAGAGTTTATGACACAAGATGTTCTGATCCACAGAGTCAAAATCTTTAGACAGGTCTAAGAAAAGTGCAGCACAATAATCTTTAGCATCCAGTGCTTCAACAACATCATTAAGAACCTTCAGTGAAGCGGTGGTTGTGCTGTGTTGTTTCCTGAAACCAGATTGATGGAGAAGTAAATGGACTGTACTTATATAGCGCCTTTCTATCTTATTTCAAGATACTCAAAGCTCTTTACACTACAATCTGTGTCCTCATTTACCCATTCATACAGGTTGGTAAGATGGTAGGTAAGATGTTAAATGAGAATCACTGACCATGTTCACCTTTCACTCCTTGGCCTCCTGGATTGTTTGTGGAGGAGAACGATGTTCTTGTGCCTGCTGTATATAGGTCCAACACACCACAGCTGTCATCAGCTGGAACAAGACATCTGTTAGCAGCCAGACAGAACTAACCTAATTTATTCTGTTCCCTTAAAGGTGATCAAACACCGACATACTTTCTGCTTATTGCTAACACTAAGATTCTAAATAAAATTATTATTATTATTAAAACTTGTTGCTGGCATTTCAAACTTTTCCAACAACAGATGCTACTGAAATTATTTGATGAAATGCAGAGCACCTATCAGCTTCATCCTGAAGTGTCAAACCTTCAAACCAGAAGGATTTGTCATCTCCTGTGACATTGTAAGATGCCACACTTCAGCTTTTAGCTACTGTTCTGCTAGATGTAGCTTCAAGGATTTATTTAGCTGATTTAATCTTTTTATTTTATCAGCTCAATTTCAGCAGTCATTCAGCTCATTGCTCGGTTCCTGTTTATCTTGTGCATAAAATAAAATTTATTTTGAAAAAAACAACAAACAGTCGTTCCCCTACAATGTCTCATTTATCACTCTGCAGTTTGTAAAAAAAGTACAACTTCTCTGTTTTGTTATGATGCTCGTGTTATGCAGATATCCACGATGAGAACGGCTTGAAGCCAGTTATGGTTTACGTCCATGGAGGCTCCTTTGTGGAGGGAACAGGGAACATGATCGATGGCAGCATCCTGGCCAGCTACGGGAACGTCATAGTCATCACCATCAACTACCGCCTTGGAGTCCTGGGTATGTGGATTTACTCTATCAGATCCTGAGGGCGACTTGTTCATAAAGTCTGTGATTTAGTGTTACCTGTTTTTTTCAAACTGTTTCTCCTACCAGAGGAACCCTTGCTCTTTTTTATTCCAAATAAACTCTGATATCTGGCTCTTCAGATTGGAAAAGAATGATTTAGTAAGGAAGACTGGCAGGTTCTGAAACACGTATAGAAATTTAGGTAGAATGTTCATTTTTACAGAGTTTATTCTACCCCCCAGAGTGTGAGGTAGGGATTGCCATCGAACAATGTCCTGCTTAAGATTCTCCATGAGAGGTAGAGAGTTCGTTTTATAGAGGTTCTTATGGTCTTCAGTTACCCATATACCAAGGTATTTGTTTTCAAAACTAAATTTTAAAATGTAGGGGCATATGTGGCTGAGTGGTTAGAGCAGTCGTCCTCCAATGCAAGAGTTGGGGGTTTGAATCCACCAGCAGTCACATGCCCAAGTGTCCATGGGCAAGACACTGAACTCCTCATTGCCTCCGATGTGTGTCCCATCAGTGTATGAATGTGATAAAGCTCTGATTAGTCTCTTTAGAATGGTTTGTTCAATTAGCTTTGTAGAGATCTAGTAGGTTTTTTTTTTTCATTCAACCTTTATTTCTACAGGTAAATCCCATTGAGCCTCGGGGACTCATTTACAAGAGAGACCTGATTTCAACAAAGAAAGATGACAACAATGGACAACAGTGACAACAATAAATAGTCATAAAAAGTCATACTACAGTTTTTTTTTTTTTTAACAAATAGGATGGCTTAAAAAAAGTAACAAAAAACAGCTAGATTCTAAGGCGAATGTAGAAAACTGAAAACAGGAACTGTATGAATGGATAAATGAGGACACAGATTGTGGTGTAAGGCCCTTTTAATGTCTTAATAAGATAGAAAGGCGCTATATAAGTACAGTCCATTTACCATAAAACATATAGTGACTAAGATTTCTTTTCTCTAAGGGTCAAAGGCATCAGCTCGTGTTTTTGAAGATTAACATTATAATAGCCAGATATTGTCACAAATTTTTGAAGCAAAGTAAGTAATTCAGGAACGCTAGTAAGAGGGTCTGATATATACAAAAGCATGTCATCGACATATCAAGAAACTTTGTGTTCTCTGCCTAATCGATTTATCCCTTTAATAATGGAGTTCTGCTGTAAAGCTACAGCTAGTGGTTCTATCACTAACGCAAATAGAAGCGGTGAGAGCAGGCACCCCTGTCTTGTACTGCATTGCAATTCGAAGTAACTGGATGTGTTACAGTTAGTGTGGACTGCTGCCATTGGGGATGTATACGTATTCTGTGCGTATATGGCTTTGGCACTTTTAATACCAGCAACCAGCTCTTTCCTTGTCCTTCTCAGTTCCTGTGTTCATGGCTTCCTGCAGGGAGTGAGCCTCTGCATTCAGCCAGGATTTCTGGTTTGGGTAACACTTTCCAGTCCCGACGGTGGTGACATCATCAGCACACTTGCTGATGTCTCCCAGGACCTAGGATGTGTATTCTTCCAGGTCGAGCTCCTCCTCATTTACAGCTTCTTTGAAGACCTGCCAGTTTGTGCATGCAAAATAGTATTTTAGTATGGAGTCACTATTCCTCATCCAACTCTTGACTTTCCTTTGTGTTGGACTGAAGTATCTCAGTGGGGGGAGGTAAGCAGGGGCCAGAAAGATGGGGATATGGTCAGAGAGTCCTAGGTAGAGTTGCCCAAAAAATCTGATCCGACCCAGCCCCAGCCCGCAGTCATAATTTCCAAACTCCACTCGATCCAACGAATTAACAGTAATTACAGGTCCGAACCCAGAAACCCCCCTCGACATTTTTAATTAGTTATTAATGGTCAGGGATGCGCAGCTGAATAAATGCGGCAGAAGATTTGGAGCTGAGAGGTATTTGTACTTTCCTGGCCATAAAAACAAACAAACATTTAAACCCTGTTTGACTGCATTCTTGTGAATTACTGAGAACCACGGACAGCTCTGACACGTGTCTGCTTTGAGATACACCTGTTGTCGGGGACGCGCAGCTGAATGAAAGCGGCAAAATATTTCGGAGCTGAGGGTGTTTGTACTTTCATTGTTGTAAAAAAGCATTTAAGCCCCGTTTCTGCCTGCATTCTTCTGAATTACTGAGACATGCAGACGGCTCTGACACATGCGCCTGCTTTGGGATTTCACCTGTTTGGGTCGTCGGCCGTGCACCTCCGCTGGGTGCAGTGGCAGGATGAACATCCATTTGGGCGATGGATCGCTGCTTGGAAGTACAGTCCCATCTGAAGCTTAACTGAACTTTTTACCTTTTTCAAGGCCAATCAACTCATGGTGAAATGGCCTCGTGCGGTTGGTGGAGGTATGGCAGGCCATGTTATCATATAATTGAATCGTGGCTAATCCTGACCTAATTAAAAGCCCGAAACCCGCCCGGCCCACCCATTAATCACATTATAACGGCCTGGCCTGGCCTTAATCTTGGTCAGTCTGGGCCGGATTTCGAGTTCGGGTTAGAAATGACAGCTCTAGTCCTAGGTAGGGGTGGTGTACAACTTTGTATGCGTCTCGCATGTTGGTGTTAAAATGCGTTTCGTGTTATTTCTTCGTGTAGGAATGGCCACATGCTGATAAAATCTTGGCAGTGTGTCCATCATTTTTACATGGTTAAAGTCACCAGCCACCACGTAAAATGTCCCAGGGTGTCTGTTTTGCAGAGAACTAATATTATCATGCAGTTCCTGCAGAGAACCTTTAGCATCAGCATCCGGGACTATGTAAACAGCTATTATAAACACCGCTGTAAACTCTCTGGGGAAATAATGTGGTTGACACTTCACTGTTAGCTGCTCCAAAGCCCTTGAACCATGAGCTGTTTATCAGAGTACAGTTTTTGCTCCAACTTTACTTACGTAGATGCACACACCCCCTTCGCATGTTTTCCCCGTTACTTCGCCACAACAGTCTGTTCGAAAAAAATCTGTCATCTAGCTGGAACGCTGAGTCAGGCACATCGCTGTTAAGCCATGATTCCTTGAGACAAAGTACAGCACATTTCCTCATCTCCTCAGAGGCACTCACTCTCAAATGAAGCAAATCCATCTTGTATACAAAGATCGGACGTTCGACAGAAAGAGCGAGGGTATTGGTAGTCTGCCAGCCTTAGCTTTCACCCTCACTAACATCCCCACCTAGCAACCTCTCTTCTTCAGCTAGGAACAGTGCCTCCTCATTCCGTTTGAGCGCTACAGCTGCAGCCTCTATGCAGATGACTTTAAGAGCTGCAATCTGCTGAGCAGTCCTGCAGTACTGCTTTGCATGCACAGACTGACAGGTCTTCAGGGAGGTAGTGGTAAATGAGGGGGAACTGTATCTGAAGGATTGCACATGTGGTGTCCTCAGATACATCAGGAAGAGCATCGAAGATGTCACCAGGACTATGATGTGCTACCTGAACTAGAAACCCTGGCTGAACACAGAGGTCCATACCCTGCTGAAAGCCAGTGATGTCTTCAGATCTGGTGGCTCACTGGAGGAGGGGAGAAAAGGAAAGAGCTGACTGCGGTTATTAAGGGGGCCAAAGCCACATACGCACAGAAGATCCAGGGACATTTCTCCTCCCAGGACCCACGGAGCATGTGGAAGGACATTAAATGTATCACAGACTACAAAGTATAACAGTAGATGTGTACAATGCCCTAGGGGCCCGTCACTGCCTAATTAACAGGTTCTATGCTGGCTTTTGAAGATAAAAATGCACCACCCAATACCAGACTCACCTCACCATCTGGAGAGAAGTCCCTCAGCGTGACTTCAGTGGAAGTAAGGAGGAACTTCAGGAGGATTAATCCTCAAAAAGCTGCTGGCCCAGACAACATCCCTGGGATGTTGCTGAGGGACTGTGCCTATCAGCTCTGCAAGGTGCTGGCCAATCTCTTTAACTCCTCCCTCATTCAAGCAACTGTCCCCACCTGCCTGAAGACCACCACCATCATCCCACTTCCTAAGAGCTGTATAGTGACTGGTCTGAAGGACTACTGGCAAGTAGCCCTCACCCTGACTCACATCAAAGCTACCATTGACGTCAGTGAGGATCCACACCAGTATGCATACAGCAAGAATCGATCAACAGAGTACGCCATCTCTTCTGTGGTCCACATTGCTCTCACACACCTGGAGCAGAAGGTCTCCAATGTTTGCATACTCTTTGTGGACTTCACATCTGCTTTCAACACCCTTCCCCAGACTCTAATATATAAACCTTAGGACCTTAGGACTAAGCCCCTCCCTGTGCAACTGGGTCCTAGACTTCTTAACCAACAGGCTGTAGTCTGTGAAGATCAACAACTTCCCCTCCTCCACCATAATCCTCAGCATTGGCTCCCCCAGGGCTGTGTGTTGGGCCCCCTCCTGTTAACTCTGCTCAAATATGATTGCACACCTCCCCATCCAGGCTGTTTTATTTTAAAGTTTGCCGATGACACAGCTGTGGTTGGATGCGTCACAAACAATGATGAGTCCAGCTACGGGCAGGAGGGGAAACACCTGGAGGGCTGGTGCAGGAGGAACAACCTACACATCAATGTGAAGAAGATGAAGGAGATGATTGTGGATTTCAGAAGGAATAAACACAACCACCCACCCCTTCTGCTCATAGGACAGTGATCCACGCCTTCATAACATCTAGGCTTGATTACTGCAATTCACTTCTGTTTGGAATCAGTCAGTCCTCCATTGCTCGTCTACAACTGGTCCAAAATGCTGCAGCCCGATTTTTAACTGGTACAGGCTATAGAGAGCACATCACGCCAGTTTTGGCCTCCCTGCACTGGCTACCCATTCACCTTCGGATCCAATTCAAAATTCTCATGTATGTTTTTAAATCACTGAACAGTTCCGCCCCATCCTATCTCACTGATCTTCTGCAGCCATATGTCCCACCGCGCTCTCTGAGGTCAGCAGACCAGATGCTTCTCTCAGTCCC